ACAGAAGGAGGGAGAACTGGTATTTTCCATCGTTCAGTAAGCTGTTCACAGAAAATGCTGATGAGTTCATTCAAGGGACAAGTATTTAGTATTTATATATGGCAATCATCAGACAAAAGAAACTGCAGGCTACGTTCACTTGTAGTTTAATTCTATAGACTTCATTGAAGCAACTTCTATGTTGAACTGTACTGTTTAATATCAATATAAACAGAAAATTTGAGACTGTTTTCTAATAATGCAAGGGTAATGTTTCACACCTTGTGACTGAGATATATTGTATGTCATGTGGGGCAGGGCAGAAAGTCATTGGAAGAGTAGACAATTCAGATCACGGGAAAAATCCCATGAGATTTAAGAACTCTTATACTGCAAACTTTGTCATGACATAGCTACTGAAGAAGAGCTCTGGAGAAGTCTTCCTCTTCAGTACCAGTTTATCTACTTTTTAACTACCCCACATTCCCTCACAGGGTGTGAAAATAATTTGATAATATAGAAAAGATTTTTCAAACCACCAACGACCTGTTGTAGTTTTGTACAGAAAAGAGTGCTGAGGTACAGCTTGGTGGCAAAACAAAAACAGCAGGACTTTGCTGTAGTGCAACCCAGATGCAACCCTTCTGCTAGAAAAGTTTGTATCAAGTGAAAATAAAAAGAAGTGAGAACAGAAGTTTGGTGGAAATGTATGTCTTGTTATGTGCTTTACTGTGTGTCTCAGTAGGAAGCTTATCTCAGCTGGACGGTAAGAGAAAAAACAGTGGGTGAGTTTTGTGTTCAGTTTAGAATAAATGGATTGGCAAAGAACACAATTGCCAATACATTTTTTTATTCAAAAATAATGTTTCATTTCATTGACAAGAGCAGATTTTTGTGTCTGTAAAAAAGATTCCTGAAAATGCTGATCTGCTGATTTGAAGAAGTGGGAAGACAGTGTTATAGTGTTATACAGCATTAGAAATGGGAAGACCTTGCTCAAAATTCTGGGATATTTATGACTTCAGTTTCTCCATCACTAAACCACAGGTGGCAGTAGGTCTTTACCTCCTGTAGAGTGGAGATTTGGTTCTTCACTGTAGCAGGCTCTGAAGTTTTCTAAGAAAAAAATCTTTTTGGTCGCGCACGTCAGTGTGGAGCTCCATCAGTGTACTAATGTGATATAGAGAAATGTGGCCTGCTGTATGCAGTGGTTTGGAGGTGCTGTTGTTGAAGTGTGGCATTTTATCAAAAAGACAAAACTCTAGCGGACAGTCAAATAATCTGGGTATTTTCGCTGTATAGGGAAGTAGAACAGCAGGCTGGCAAAGGCTTTTTGGTGTATATACTTATTCCTCCCAGTTAAAGTAGCTGGTCTAAAAAAGGTATTAGTGTTACCAATAGGTTAATAAGGATGTTATCACCAAGAAATCTTGTCTTGAAGACCAACAGACATTTGTTCACTCTGACATAGAGTGACACGCTGGACAGAAGAGCCCCTTCCACACCCTGGGTGCTGGAATTCAAAATGTAAAAATGAATCCCCAAATTGCATTTCTTTTCTGACTTTGACTGAGTGTATAAATGAAGAATTACATGCATATTCATCATTTTAATTTCATACAGAATGTAGGCTATTTTTATTCAGCATGCCCCAAGCCTGAAAGGTGACTTTCTATGACTTTACTATTTTCCTTGCAGTGAATCAGTATTTCCCACATAATTTCCTACATCTGGCATCAGAATGGCACATTTCCTTGTGACGTATGATGACATGGGTAACAATTTAGAGTGCCAAAACTAATTCTCTAATTAGTCAGGCCAGTGCAGACAGGAGCAGGAAGATTCCACACCCTTTAAGGAATCTTTACTGTTTCATTCTTTTCCAGATTTCCTTCTTGGTTTCTCATCCTTCTTTCTCTTCCTTTTAGTCTGAACTTGTCCAGCTTCATTGGATCAGTTATCTTCATTAATCTCCTGTTCAGCTTTTCGAAGAAACTATTTCCATCAGCTCTTTCTGTGAAACCTGTATTACCTGAGATGGGATATAACATGTAGCTGCGAAGTAGAGCACCTCAGAATGCAGCCCATTGAAGGAAGTAAAAATGCTGCAACTAACTTTGCTGAGGTATTGATCTGAAGATTTATGCAAAGGTTTCTCTTCTAGAATTATTGGTGCTTTCATTCTCGTTAACTGGATCCATTTCAGAGTACTGACCTCATTCATTTGCACATCATTTACCAGCCTTGCAGTCAACATGCTAAGCCTTTTAAATGCAGAAATCTTCTGGTGAAGATTAGTCCTGTGTTTTTCATAGAACAATTTCTCCCATAATTCACAAGATTCTTAAAGTAGCTCATATTATTAAAGCCTCAAGTTATCTAAAGGTGGCACAGAGTGCAAAACGAAAGAGGATTCAACATCCTGAATATGGCTTTACAACACGGATTTCAGCTAGTCCGGTCTGAATGTGATCTCACCATGGTACTATGCACTCACTGGCATACTCCCACAGCAGTGTTCAGTTTGTCCAGTCTTACATTAACTTGGCATTAGGGACAAGAACAAGAACACTGGGAGAAGTGCAGAAATCAGACTCCGCAGCTACCTTCCTGTTAAAAAAAAATATAGTGTTACGTGAGTGGTGCCATACTTCAGGCTCCTAAGTATCCCTGTTGGCAGCGTGGTGTAATGTATATTTTTCTGCTGGCACCATTCGGTGTTAATATTTAAGTAGTGAGTGTCCAGGGAGCTCTGGCTAATTGTTTTCATTCTCCGTGCCAATTTACTCAGGACCAATATGATCTCATAGCTTGACCTTGCTTTTTGGTGGTTTCGTCTCAGTGACAACTTTATCACTGAGAAAGGGCAGATGGAAAAGATACCCTGAGACGGTGTCAGTCTGAATGCAGACAATTTGTTAGTGATGGGATGCAGTAGGTCAGGTTGAAGGCTGAACTTGATGGACTCGTTGGACTCTTCATAAAGACAGACAGGTTTCTTCTATCTGCTACTACTGCAGGTGCAATGGAAGTGCTGGGGTGAAAGCCCTCTTCCCTTTCTAAGGAACAGAAGACAAAACAACAGGCCATCAAGATCTGAGGCCTCACTCAGTGGGGGCTACACATTTAGAAGTACAATCCAGGAACATACACGGGAAGTCCTTTTCCTCTTACTTGACACATGTTGGCGGAGATGACTCTAAGTTTCCATATACTTAGGTCTTTCCCACAATAAGAATAAGAATAAGAATAAGAATAAGAATAAGAATAAAAATAAAAATAAAAATAAAAATAAAAATAAAAATAAAAATAAAAATAAAATAAATAGTTGAAGGCAATAAGGGCATTACCAGTGTCCTAAGAATCTGCAGTACTAAGAATCTCAAATACTGAAGAATTAAATAGAAGTTACTTTTATTAGGCAAAGTATCCCCTTCTTGCCTTCTGGACCCAGCCGTTGTTTGCTCATCTGACTTAGAAAAACATTCTTCGTGTTCTGCATCTGATAGTCACATAGGAAACAAGCCTCAGGAGACTTTTCTGTGCTGTTGAGGATAACGTTTTATATCCTCTTGTTTCTCCTTCCTGACGTTTTTTCGGAAGAAGGCAGAAACACGATTCCAGAGGTGATTAGGCAATGCATTTCAAGGCTGGTAGATGTGTCTGTCAATTGAATAAACCATACTGAACTGCATGCTGGTTCCAGGAACAAGAAAACTCAATTCAAATCAGAGGAAAAATGTTTCTGAAATTGTATGTTTTCTGTAGTTTACTTGACATGATTAATTCAAGGAGAATTTACGCACCAGTCCTAACACGGTTCCAGTGCGCAGTAATGGTGCAATCTTTCAGGTTATTTTCATTCTTCCTCATCATGCTATGGTGTTTCTAAGTCATCCTTCCACAGTGGAAACTATAGTTTCCTTTTTTTTTCATGCTGACATTGCCATTCATATGACCAATCTAGAATATGAAATCAGCAGCATTGACTCAGCATACTTTGTGAAACAAACTGCTTTGTTTTATTGCCTGTTTCATTTCCGTGGGTGTATAGGGGAGATTTTCTGAGCTCTTCACATGCAAGCTGACAAGTATCCTGTAAATGTCATGGCATTTCAATAGCCGTAGGACAAAAGCAGAAGAGCAGCTGCATCACCATCTCATTACAGGTTCACCTAGAACAATATCTTGACACCCACTGTGACCAATAAGAAATGCTTAGGAAAGAATAGGGAAAATATATAAAGATACTTTACACTTTTAATATTCCTCTGTATTTTTCTAGATGACAAGAATTTGCAGCTGAGGAACTTCTTGAGCCAAACAGAGCATCTCTGTGTTGAGTAGGCCTTATAGGATTTTCAGTGATGAATTCGCTTAGTCACTGTCTGACCCCCTGTAAACATTTAGTATCCACAGAATGGTGTAGCAAAAATCCCACAGTTTAACTGTTAGATGTAAGGAGAAAACATTCCTTTAGTTTCTCCTGAATCCACCACTGGCTGCCTTCATTATTTTTTTTTTGGCCATGTTTCTTTTAGATTGAAAGCAGTGACTTCCTTGTTCGCTTTATGCATGCCATGTGCAACATTACAAAATTTTGTCACATCTCTTTCCCAGGCTGAAGAGGTGTATTCTACTTGGTTGTTTCCCCTCCCATAACCCTTATCATCCTCTGAACCTTATCTACATTTACCGTACAGACAGACTGATGCCCTTCCTGCTCTCTGCTTCCCACTGTTAGCTGGATTGCCTCCCAGTTCTTTGGAACCAGGGTATTTCAAAACTGTAGCTTGTGCCTGTTCTCATTTGCAGTGCAACACCTGCATGATGATCAAAGTGCCATCAACACTGCCAGCTCTCACTCATCCTCTCCCTGGTGACTGCTGCATGTGGAGTGATGCTTGGCAGCTTGTGTGCTGACTTTGGGGAAATGGTTTGTGTTACGTATTGCAGGTCATGCTAGTGCATTCCTATAGTGTTTTGGGTTTGTGGTTGCTATTTTGTTTTGTTTTAATTTAGGCATTGCTGGTATTTTTACATGTATATTTCCAACTTTTTCTCCTAAGTGCAGCCTCCTCACAGTACGGTGAAATCCTTGCAGAACCGGTTCAAGGCTTCTCAGCCATGTAAACAATACTGATTTTTGCTGTTCTAAGGAAGAGGAACCAGGACTGGAGCTGGGCCAGGAGGGTCTTGCTAGGGGAAGGAAAGGGGATGTTGTGGGCAGACAAAGAACTTGGGGTAACCCTGGCAGAAAGCTTGCTATGCCTTTCTGGTCTCTGTGGGTGGGAAGTCCTCCCCCTCCCATAGCTGTCAGTCCTGCATGCTCTGATTTCTCTTTCAGAAGCTTGCCTGACTTTCCAGGAAACAGACCCAGGGCTTTGCTACTGTCCCCAGCACTCTTCTTCCAGCCAAGTACTACTTTGTCTGTGGTTTAAGTTGACCTTGACTACTCAGCTGTTTCCTTGAGGCACTTTTTACGTATCCTTTCAGCCACTGAATTGTTGGCATCACTATGTGAAAACAGAAGATGTGGGCCTTCTGATGTTTTGCTTTCACCTTGGAGGGTAACCAAAGGCATTTTTGTGGGATTTTTCAGTGTATTTTCAGATCCGCTAGGTATGCAGAGGTTTGGGTTTGTGAATTGGCCTTCGTACCAGTTCACTTCAGGGCTGCAGGTTTTGTCTTCTGTGCAATCTGGAGGTGTTAAGGTTCAGGCATAACAGAGGCTTGATCTGCATGTCAGCTGCTCATCCTATTGGAATAACTAGTTTTAAAGAAATACCCCTCTAGGGTCTTAATGCTTAAGGTGCTTTTGTACTTTTTCCAAAATATTTTATTTATGACCACATAATTTTGTCATTTGGACATCCCTCATTTTTATGTAACTGATCACCAAAAGGCTGCTGTTGCTATGAAGGTCACAAAATACTAAAGGGACAAAGTTTTGTGACTTTGCTGCAGTGTCTTACCTAACAGTACATAAAATGCAGATTGTTTTCCTTGACATTGCCACAGAGCAAACACCTTTCCATCCCTCTGGCTGCATTATCAAGGGCAAAAAGCTCAAAATGACAGCCAGTACCAAGAACACCTATATGAAAATGGACTTTTTCTCGTATTATTTTTCCTCAGAAATCCTCATAAATAGCGGGTATCTGAAGCACACCCTCTATTTCTGGAATGTAAGAACTGAAATGAGGAGAGCTCCCTCCGGCTCTCCTCATTTCAATAAGAGGTTTGTCCCCGACTTTCGGCTTAGAGAAGAGGAGACTGAGGTGCGACCTCATGGCAGCCTGCAGCTTCCTCCCAAGGGGAGTGGAGGGGCCGATGCTGAGCTCTGCTCCCTGGGAACAGCAACGTGATCCTTGTGGGTACCTCTTAGCTCAGGATATTCTAGGATTCTAATTCCCATATCCCACTGAATGCTAAAAATATGCCTGTAGCTGTGTCACATTTAGGCTGGAGTGCAACATTCTTTTGTCACAGATGCTGAAAGACCAAAAGATTTGCCACAGGATTGTTTTTCTGCTTCTTGACATATTTCATTTACCATCACAGAGACCAGAAGTTCTCTCCCTGAGAGTTAAGCCACATCTCAAAGGAATATTGCAGCTCTGTGCCTACATCCTGTCTTGCATCATAAAAACAAGCCTTGTTTTCATTCACATCAATGATCTTTGTAAGGCAGACTGTTTACAAAGGTCTGTTATGTGTGGATGACCATCTACAACAAATAAAATGCCAGCCAAACAACCACAACAAACTGTGGTTTTAAAATCAGCATCATCATTTCATGCCAAGATGAAGATTTTATCTAGAAGATTGTTACTTATGTGCAAGAAAGATTAGCTTAAATCAAAGAAGACACAGGGAAGAACTCTGAGAGTGCCTAGAAGACTTCATGTTCTGCAAAGAGATGAAATGGGTTTACATTGTCGAGAGGAGCTATGGGGACTTTTTACAGGTACCTTAATGGAAAAGACCTATTAATGCAGTGGGATAGAAATGGAAAAACATCAAGAGATTTTGCATCAGTGCTGGGTGAAAGTACATTGGAAGTTAGAAGAACTTTTCAAGTATCTGCAAGAATCTTTCCAATGGCAGATGTGAGGGCAGAGACCTTAATTAAATCTTTTTAAGATGATGTCCCAGAGAGGTGAAGCAACATCTGGTATCAGATGTGTTTTTGTTTCTTACGGGCTTGGAAGGAGATTCACTTGCTTTTTCTGTGTCATAGTTATGCTGTATTAATCTTCTGAATCTCTGCAGCCACTGGCTGTCTGCAGAGATAAAAACTGGAATCCAAGATAGCAGTTTTGGGTGCACAGAATCACACAAAAACTGTGTTTATCAGACATTTTTCACTAACAACTCCTACTGCAATGTGAATATGCACTTTATGTACCAACATGTGCTTTTGGCAAAGTAAACTGATCAGAAAGCTACCTCATGTCCAGTAAAGCTGAAAGAAATATTCTTTTGATCCAAATAATGATAAAAGTATCAACAATTTTGCTTCTTACTAATTGACTAGATCAGCATATTTTTCTGTAAACTAGGAAAGAAATTTTTCTTGCTGAGCTATCAATTACATTTACAAGTAAGTCTTAGTGGCAAACCTGTTCTTTTGTTTTGTTTTGTTCTTTCATTTATTGAGTAGTCAGATAGACCTTAAATAGTCCCTCATGCTAAACAGCTGAGAAGTGAGCTCTCAGCTGTGTTTGGAGACCAACAATGTTAGTATTCAGTGATAATATCATGATTACATGCATAAGAACCAAAAATACATCTGTGTTTAGATGGGGAAAGGGGACTTCTCACTTTGAAAACAAAATAGTATTCAAATATGTTATTTAAATTCATTTCACCAAGTCTTTCCGTACTGAAAATAAATGTAAAATCTATTTTTTCCCTGTAAGAACAGGCACAGCAATTCAGAAAATGATATACAGTCTTGTATTTATTATAAATTTTGTTTTACATTTCAGCCCCTGGTGCATTATGAATAAAGCCTCACAATGGCTTGCAGGTGGCAAAACTCTGAGCATATCTGAAACATTAAGATATTTCATACACATTTTCTTTACAGTTGAATGGATGGCTTCTGAAAACGTAAAAACCTTTTACGTATTTATTATTGCAGTGATAGTATTAGTATAGTATTATTGCAGTGATGCTTGGTGACAAAAACCAAAATAACTATGATTATGGTTTTAAGGTTAGAGATGTATTTAATGACCATGAGACAAAAAAAAAAAAAAAGAAAAAAAAAGGTTTTAAACACTAAAATCTTACAGCATTTGTTTCACTTCAATTGATCATATTGCCTCTAAGCAAGCTGCTTACTGATATCAAGAAATTCCTTTTTTCCTCTGTCTCTTTCTTTCTTTTTAATACATTCACTTAGAATCTCCTTTGGTTAATTCCTTATTAGTTTGAAAACTGCATCTTTCTTAAACTAGACAAAACCCTACTTTGTAGTTCTTCTGAACGAAGCTTACAGATGACTTGGTATTACCACCAGTTTGGTGATGGCTACCTCCTTGGTGTAGCTAAACCTGTGCAGGTGTTTCCAGCTGAGTGATGCGATGCTAGGCTAGGGCTTGGCTAGGATATTGATTTAAATGCTCTGCGGTTAAGCACAGTGTAAAATTTTGTGATAAAATATGAGAAGTTGCTTGTGTTGTGACAGCCTACTGAGCCCAGCAGTTTCCTTTTGAAAATCGACAGTTTGTACACGGAAAGAATTGAAGACAATAAAAAATGAGAGTAAGATGATGAATACCTAGCCCTGGAGACACTGAGAGGCTACTGGCATTTCCATGCAGCTTTTGATCGTTTGCAGAGATTCCTCTCTTTTCTTTACTGATGCTGTTTCTTGGCTGAGCTGCAATGCAGACATTGTAATGAATTATCAAAAGGCACAACACAGTGAGATTAATTTACAGACATCAAAAACAGTAAAAAAACACTCCTAGTGGAAAAAAAAAAAAAAAAGAGTTATTTTCTTTTTTGTTTCTTTTTAGTTGATTGTAGGTTTAAGCTGCACTAGTGGGAAGTCACTTGCAACTATTCTACACTAAGGTTCTCTGGATAGCTGTTGCATGCATGCTGCATGCAATTTATCTCCGAGGAGATACATCCATCCACAGCCACGAGGGAAGCTTGTCCTAGTGGTCAGCCTGACCAGCAAGGCAGTGCTGAGCAGTGCTCTCGTATTACTTCCGAGGCTCTCCCTCCAGAAAGCCCAAACATTGCCTGTGGCATTGTGGAGCTGAACACAAGCTCGAGGAATCCAAGACCAACATACTCATTGGAAATACGGGATGGATAACATTTAGTGTGGTTGTTTGCTTTAAATTACAGAGATATATCCAGTAAGCCTTGTTCCTGCCTTGTCCAAAGATTGACTAATTCTAGTCCGTCCTTATTCCCAGCCTTGCATTTCTCAAATGGCTCTCAGAGACAGAGTGCCAAACATTGCTCTCACATTGGTGTTTCTACCGGAGAAAACGCCCTTTGGTGGAATAATTCCAGTTACTAGGTAATCCTGACAGCTACCTGTGCAGAATCCTGTTAATTATCATCTTCACCCATTTTGCCTGGGGATCTAAACAGATTTGCTGGCTGTTCTTCAGTGTTGCTCTGCAATGGAATGAACATTTCACTTTAATTAACGTTAGCACCAGAGGAGGCAAACGGAGGACACAGAGAAGGCTGAAGCTTTCAAGCTTAAGGGCTGCCAACTCTTCAGCATTTACAAGCTGTGCCTTCCATTGCCTGCTGGATGCATTTACTTACATGATTTCCACAGCCTTGCAGTGGGGGCCCTTGGGAATGATTTCCACGTTGGCCAGGTGCTTCGGCAGCATTAATCGCCTGACGTTCCGGATGCAGTGACACCGCAGCTCCGCTGCCAGCATCATCTCTGTGAGGAAAGGAAAGGGAAGCTCATAATGTCTGCAGACTTTGCACAGGTAACAATGAATAAGCTCCTGTTGCTGCCACAATTCTCTTGGCATCTCACAATATCAAGGACAGTGAAAGGCTACTGAAAGTTTGGGGGCCCTGTCTTAGGAGTGGAAGAAGAAGCTAGCCAAAGAGGCCGAAGGCTGCTCTCCATGAATACAGCCTGGAGGTGAAACCTGTTTGGGCTAAATTTCTGCGTTGGCACCTGGTGTGAGAGAGCGACAAATACATTTAGCTTAGAAGCTTGACCTCAGAATCAGGCTGCAGAGGAAGCCATGCGGTGTAAGTACTAGGAGCAAGAAATCTATCTGGCTTTGGGATGAAGTTTAATTGAATTGTGCCACATTCCCTACAGCTCCCAAGTCCATGGATCTGCTGTTGCCTGACAGTCCTTCCAGTCCCACATTTCCCTAGCAAAGCAAGAACAATGTTAGCCCAGCTTTAAAGATTGGGCACAGAAAGGTGATGGAGTTTCCCAAGATCACAAGCCATAAAGCCCAGAGCTCTCCCAGCTCCACTCTCTGCAGACACTGGGATATGTTCCTGTTTTCATGTCAGACAGCACAGGGTTAAAGTGTACAATCACAGCTCTCACATTTCTTCATTTTTCCTGCTAAGGCAAGCTAGAGCTGCAGCCTGCAATTCCTGACACTTGAACTGTGGAATCTAGTTGAAAGGGAAGTTCAGTACTTTTCAGGGCAGCATCAACAAGCAGCAAAGATAAGCTTCAGATAAACAGATGGTGGGGGAAGGACAGAGACTCTTACTGAGATGAGCAGGGCCACAGAAGCTGAAGTCCATTCAGTTCACCAGTTGTCTGTGGATAGTATTTACATCCTTAATACCATCCAGCTCTACCCTTTACCTCACCCTGTGCTACTTCTTGTACCTTGATAAGATCATCCACCTATTTCCCTTCTTCACTTATCTTCCGGCCAGCTGAATCCTCCAGTGGTTCTTTTGGCTGACCAATACCTCCCTCCCTACCTGACAGAAAGCAGAAACAAAGGCACTTGAAAGTCAAACACCAGGCAGCACAGAGCATTACTGCATAGTAGCAGCACCTTTTCTTCTTCAGGCTCAACAGAAAAAAAGTTTCCAAAGGTGGTGCCAGAGCCTCACCATGGATGTTTATGATGATACTGGTGTCCTGTTAACCAGTTGTCCAGCCTGGAGATTGGTCACAGCTTATCCAGCTCTGTTCTGGCCCAGGAGGGACTGCACATGTGTGCCATCCCAACGTGAAGCCAAGATGCATGGACCTCCGTGGTGCTGAGGCTTGGGAGCATTCCAGACCCCTAAACTTGGCAAACTTTCTGCCCACAAAATACTCTCTGGACTATCCCAGCAGACTTTGCTTTTGTTTACCCTCATGCTTCTCTGGGAAGAGCTTTTACAGATTGGTGGTGATTAGAAATAAATTAACTCAAATTAAGTTGAATATTCCAGGCTTTAAACTCAGGGGTTGTTATTATAAAAACAACGTGAAAAGTCATAGTGATGAAACATGCCGCAGTTACCGCAGGCTATAATTCCTCAAGCCTTGGTTCTAATCTCATTTTTCTCAGAATATTTAAGGGACAAGTTTTCAATGTTAGTGAATCTGCAACAGCATAAGAATAATAAGAGACAAGAAATAGGCTCACTCTGACAGTTTGTGGATATCTTTATCTTGACCTGCTACCTTGAAGACAGTGTGAGTTTGGAAGTCCTACATACCTTGAAAATACTCTTTAGTTCAACCATATTGCAGAAGAACTGAAATATAAAGGAAGATAAATTCAAATTTCTTACCAGGAAAGTTGCCCATAAAAGCAAGAATCAGGAGGGAGATTGCAATCTTGGTATTCATGACTGCTCTCTGTGCCTTCTTATGGTGAACTGAAAACAAACTCTTCTGTCTCCAGACCCACATGGGACTGCTGACACTGCTGCAGGATTTGCTTTGCAGGCACAAGTACATACAGATGGAATTGCTCTTGCTCCTGCCTTTTGCCACAACCAGAAGTAGTGGAAAAATCTGAGATGAAACAGCTTCTGCTAACATACCTGTAAGCAAGCAGCAACCTGAAGCCCCTGGGCTTGCTCTGATTCCTTTAATTCCAAGAAAACAGTAAAATACTAAAATGCTTTCTTTATGGAGTTGAACATTGTGTGCCTTGCCCTCTTACTTCAGCAGTGTCATTCAGAAGCGAGCACAGTAGAATCAGTGGATGATGTTCAGACAAAGCTGATGTGAAAAGAGATTGAGACTCTCTGTCTGAGGTGAGACAGACGAATTGCAAGAGAGTAACGGAGAAATGCATGAGATGCATGAGTATCTAAAGGCTGAGCTTTTCAAACATGCTGGCTGAAACAGTGAGGAAGATATGAAGCTTCATTTGCTGCCAACTTTTATAGCGCAGTACTTGCTTTGTTTTTGCTCAGTGAAATACAAGGCAGAATTAACTTGGTAACAGAACAAAGGCAAAAATTTGGGTAATTGTGTTATTGGGAAAGAATAAAAATAAAATACAGATATTAAGGAGGTATGAGTTTTCAACATGTCTGAATATTACGCACTGTTTTAGAAAGAACTTAAAGCCATGTTTAACTTTGTCATTCCAGGTAGTAACAAAATAAGCTCTCCTTCCCTTCAAAGGGAACTAATAAACTAATAATGTGTGGTTCACTAAATGAGGATTTGATTTAATTGTGCAATACCACGGATACGCACACAAACCAGCTGTGGAAATACTGGGAACAGCCACCTCACGGTCCCTCCTTTGCCCTCCTTGGTATTTCTCTCTTCTTCTCGTTCAAGAGCAATTAATTCCTTCTTGTGAGTCCCTTTGGATTTGCAAGCACAAAGAGATTGTTCTTCTTTGTGCCTGTGTGTTTAACCCTTTTGAACATGCCTCTTTTTTTCAGATCTCTTCTTCCCACTTCTTTCTTTGTGTTCCTCCAGAGAGGAAAATGAGGAAAAAAAACAACAAAAGAAAGCATGTGTTCGCCACGTGGCTAGTTGCTCTCCCCATGTCTATGACCAGACGTGTGCACTGCACGCTGCTTGCAATCCCAGTCCAGCCTTTTCTTCTGCCATAATGAATTGCTGGTGATTTTGCTATGCCAAAAATACTGTATTCAGAAGAGGAACTCAGTTTTACCCATTCTATATATGAATGTTTGGCATTGGCATGCGAGTGAACGATAGCTCACAAAATGGACAAATAATGTTTGTGGTTTTCTGTGCACATTTGCATGTTGTGAAATTGGTTGCTCCATGAAATAACTAAAACGTTGGTAACTTTAGAAAAGGACTAAATAAAAGGTAAAAATGTGAAGAAGTACCTAATTACCATCAGTTTTGCTTGTGAAGTGACAAGGACAAGAACATTTCTCTACAGTATGAATTTAGAAAAGCTGCTTTTTTTTTTTCTTCTTTTTTTCAAAAACAACCAGTAAGGCATGCCAATCTGCACATCTATGGTAATGCTCACAGCTGAGGTTGTTTCATAAAGCAGTGGAAAACTTTGTTTTTCTGTGAACAGTTCCCCATGGAAAAGTATCATTATTTTCTCTAAGGAGCAGGATGAAAAACTTGTTCCATGTGTATCTGTACATATGTCATTGTGAGAAATTGCTAACACTTCGTGCAAAATAATTTTTCAGCTTTGGTTCGTATGTTGGTTGACATGGAATTTGGCTTCAATCCTTTGTAACAAATATGGTGGTACATGTTTTTTGTGGTTTCAGCAGGCCACAAGTGCAGGACTACTCTGCTGTATCTGAATGCCTGTGTGACCTTGTAATACTCACATTTTTGGAACTGGTGGAGGAACCTGCACCTCCTGCTTGGGTAACAGCAACCCAATGGGCTTGTTACCAGCACCTGCAAACTTACAATCTCAAGCTTGTCCTTAAATGGAGCAAGGCAAGCCATAAATTTGGGAACAGGCAAGTGATTTCTGGTGTGAGGCCAGCATAGGAGTATCCTATGGGATTCCTCAGTGAAGCAGGAAACACCTCTGCAAAATGAGCAAGGTTGGGTGCTGGGGATGGTCAGGAAGAGGGATGTGTGGTTTCAGCATGATAACTCGGTCCGCTGGAAATGTGAACTACATTGGTTCTGTCTTGGAAAGAGGAACCCACTTCTGTGGTGGTCAGGCTGCTGGAGAAAGAGTCAGATGGAAGATGGAAGGAGGGAGAGAGGGAGAAGCCAATGGTAACTGGTTCTGCAGCCCTACACGGTGTGAGTAGAGGTGAGTGCTGTGGTATTACCCGGCTGGCAGCTAAACACCACACAGCCATTCGGTCACTCTTCCCCCTCCCTCTCTGGGATGGGGGAGAGAAATGGGAAAGTGAAGCCTGTCAGTTGAGATAAAGACAGTTTATTAAGGCATAATAATAGTAATAATAATAATAATAATAATAATAATAATAATAATAATAATAATAATAATGTGTATTAAATAAGTGATGCACAATGCAATTGCTCATCACTCACTGACCAATGCCCAGCCTATCCCCGAGCAGTTGGCCCCGCACCCCAGCTAGCCACCCCTATCTATTGTTTAGTATGACCCCATATGGTATGGAATACCCCTTTGGCCAGTTCGGGTCAGCTGTCCTAGGTCTGTCCCCTCCCAGCTCCCGCTGCACCCCCAGCCTGCCTGCTGGCAGGACAGAGCGAGGAGCTGAAAAGTCCTTGGCTTGGTGTAAGCACTGCTCTGCAACAATTAAAACAAAACATCAGCATGTTATCAACACTTTTCTCATCCTAATCCAAAACATAGCACCCTACCAGCTACTAGAAGGAAAATTAACTCTGTTCTAACTGAAACTAGGACAGTGACACAGAAGAGACCTGAGCTCATTTGTCATTGTGCTTCCTTTTTAGAAGCTTTTTGCTCGGTTTGGAGAATTGCCAAATCCAGTAGACTCATTTTGGTGTCTGGATAAGCCTCACCAGAGACTGCCTAGAGCAGTGAGGTCTCGTTGTGGTGGTGTAACAGGCAACTCTGGTATTCTAGGTGGCTGCAGTAAAGCTGGCATTGCTGGTGTGGAAGAAGTGCGTTGGCCAGCACAGGCCCAGTCACAGACTGGTAGCAAGGAGATTTGCCGATGTGAAGACCATCTCCTGGATTTTCTGAAAGGCTGTTTTGCACCATAAAGTTGCTAGTCCATTAGGGTGCCAGTAAGAGAGGCAGCCAGGCTCTACAAAGCATCACCTAAAATGCCATGTATTGGAACTAATGCTACATAGAAGAAGAGGATAGTAAAGATCATCTGATGTCTCTTCAGATGCTGGTAGCCCCTCACTGTGCATTACAGAGCAGGGCTCCAAGCAGGGCACAGCATTCTCTGCAAATCCTGGCTGCCAAAAGGTTACCCCATTTTGCTTACACAAGCTCTTTTGAGGGTTTGCTGAAACTCTATTCATCATTTCTATGGTTAGATAAGAAGGGTGCTCTCATGAGGCCTTCTTGCTGCAATTTTCGATAAGGGCAAGGATGTGTAGGTGGTGTAATCACCAGCATTGAGCTCCGAGTAACCCTTACATGGGACGCCAGTGTCTCGATGCACCCGTGTCCCAGGCATGTCTCTACAAGGGGGACCTCCTCTGACCCCAGTGTCAAGTGGCACAGGGACATCTGTATTGTAAAGGACTCCCACAGGGAGAAACAGAGCAAAGTTTCTCTTTTTCTCTCCAGCAGAAAAGGGTATGAAGTCTACAAAATGTGGGAAAATGCAAAAACAGTCTAATAAGATAAATTTTGAGAAGCAAAATGTTCTCGGATAGGACCATAATAATCACTCCAGCTCACTTGGCAATGTGGGGAAACTCGGAATATTTTTGTCTGACAAATAGCATCGCAGTCATTTGGAAACTGCTGATTTTCCTTACAGCCAGATTTCACTGTATGACCGAACCAGTAACACCAGTCATTTCATGAAATGCCTTCAACTCCTTGCTAAGTCATGTTGTGACCAAGTGCACTAGGCAGTTGGGCAATAGAGCATCTATAATTCGAGTCATTTTGAGATTTTGTAATGTGCGCCTGATACAAGTAGATGTGTGTGTCTTTGGCATATTGTAAAATCCACCCTTTGACAGAAATTTTATTCAGTTAATTATATACGTAGCTGTAAGCACCTTCCCATCCTCTGCACCTTTTTGACATGTACATTTGTCCATTACCCCCCTAACTTCTCTCTTTAATGCTTGAAGACATGCATAATTGGATTCACTGCTTTTCCCAGATGTGTAACATCTTTTAGCCCTTTTTCATTTTAAATTTCTGTACTCATCAGATGGATAAGTTCAGGCAAAATAATTTATTTTCCTTGGAAAAGCTGGTAATATAGTAACACTTTATCCCTTTACTTCCGATAGCAAGAATATGGTATTACTGAAAAAAAAATAGTTCTCCTTTCTGAGTGATGGAACAATTCCTCTTAACCACAACAGCCTAACTATCGGACTTTAAAAATTTTGGCATTACAGAGAGAAAAGCTATTTTATACATCAAGAAGTTTTCAAAAGTCTGATTTTTTTCTGTGTCCACAACTAGAAAACATAGATCATCTGGACTTGTCAGGTAAAGAGGAATAAATAAGGAACAACAGTTTTTCATAAAAATTTGCTTTCCTGCGATTTCTCACAAAGAAAAGCTAGGCAGTGTTGCGAGGATGTAGTTTTCCTTCAGTTACCAGAGGAGAAAATTGTTAGCTGTGTCCCAAGGCCAGGATCTGGCTACATCTTCAGATAAGGGCTCGTATTTCAGGAGCAAGCAGCACTCTATTTTTATGTCACTAAATAAGTGTTATGTACCTAGTGATTGAACATACTGTTTGTACTTAAAATGTGTGCTAAAAAATAATAGACAGGGATTCTTTGCTTTAAAAGGTGACAAGGCTTCTTGTTAGAGCTGGAACCTGAACAATTTCATTTCATGGAAACAAATTCCCTGTTTCCACTTGCAAATCGTCGTGGTTCTGTACCACAGCAGGCACCGTTGCTCCTTCCTGCCCTAAGTCAAAGCAGAATACAAGCTCCTGGAGATCACAGGGGTGTACTCGGGTTCGGCACCTGAGGGCTAACCTGTCTTCACATCGTCAGCTCCACGGGAAGGATTTAAACGCTGTGCCCAGGAACGGAAAGGCACATTTGTTCACTAC